ATACCAGTAAACTGTTATTTTTTGCCAAACAGCAAACTAATGTGTCGATGTCCTGTTGCATCAAATCGCTTTATTACAGACGTCGTGCTCACTGAATGTCTTTGTGCTCGTGCAGCAGCATCCAAGTGACTTTTGGACTCGAGATGCGAGAAGGCGATTTGCCCAGTTATTAACGGGCCGACGCAAAACCCGCCGGAAGCCTTGGAAAACAGTACACAAACAAAACAATATAGTCCATCTTGTGATACACTGTAACTTATAGTTGGATACGAAGTAGTGGAAAAAACGTCAGGTATACGACGCTTCTTTGTACCAAAATTACCGAGTGGTGCTTGCCAAGTTTTAATTCTTTGGCTGGAAACGAGAGGTGAGGATGCGCTCCTTGGTGAAATCGTCGAGATCATTCACCTTAGTTAAGTCTAGTAGACCTATATCAATCACATTTTCTTTCACATCACGATTATCAGTGCCGACATCATCTTTAATTAGGCTTTTCTTGGACGTACTTGCCGAACACTCCTTATCTTGTGCACATGCTACGTAAAGTTCTTCGGTGTTCGGATGCATATCAGTTCCTTCACTACTCTTCTTCTCTACCTTTTTGAACCATTTTGTCAAAGTGACGCTCATGATGAAATGTTATCAGTTGTAAGAGTTTTCTGGTTAACTAGACATGCTATATAAGCATGCAGCACTGAGCAACAACAGTTAATCATGTAGCCTGGACCACACATTAATAAAGCTCCGCCCTGTGCCGACACTGTTGCTGTGCTGAGTTTGAATATGACATTTACAGACAGCCAAAACATTACACAATAACGTTATATTGCGAACGTCGCTATGACAACGTAAGTTACCATTATCAGATTATGAAGGCAATTGACTTGTCACTTGTTTTTAGTGCGTCACTTCCAGGCTGTGTGGCAGATCCAGTTTGTGCTTCATGATTGTATTTTTATAACAGCTGTAAGCCAAGAGCTTGAAGAGTGGTTATATGTTCAGGCCATGACACCGGGCTGGTCCATCATCCATGAGTAAAATATAGGCCTATGTTTGTTTTTGTTATATTTCCTACAGTTCGTGATGTAAGTGTGTGCAAATATATATTTCTAATATAATAAACAGAAAACTATAATTTATTACTCTCTGTGCAAAAATGTTGACATAATTTATCGCGTTAATCGAGCACAATAAATTATGTTTTTTTTTAAACCCAAAATTTACTGGAAGCACTGTGCTTCCAGTGCTTCTATCTGCGGGCGACACTGTGTGTGTATGTGTGCGTGCATGGGTATATTGCGCGCGTGCGTGCGTGCATGTATGCGTGTATGGATATGGTCCGCGCGTGTACGTGTGATGGTACAACGCCGTTTCTCACGTGACTAGTCCGCCAAAATGACGTCACGTAGCATTTCTCAGGCAGCCATTGTTATAGCTAACACGTTGTTTACGTTTTTGTGATAAAGTTATGACCGCTACACGTATACGAGATCTGTGACCAGAATATTTTGTAAGTACTAATCGTCGCGTATGCAAGTGTATGGAATTTGGCATGAATAATGTATGTAATATAACAATATAAAGTTCTTTATTGCAGATATAAAGGTCGTCTACGTTTCTTAGTTTAATAACAATTATATATAATATTATTATTTATAATGTATATTATATAATAATATATTATACGCACATGTACACGCACGCACGCACGCACGCACGCACGCACGCATGCTTTCAGCGACATGTTCGTGAACAAAACGCGGGTGATGTGAACGTACGGGGCACGGACCTGCACAGAAAGTGGAAGCCAGACAGTAGTTATGGCCAATCGCGAACGAAGCAGAGGTAATATATGTGTATTGATATGATTATATTGTGTACAGTATATGATGTTCCCGGAGAGCTGATAGCACCACCTCTGATCATAAGTGATGCACAAAGTCTATCGGACACCCCATACAACGTAGATGTGCTGCACTGTGACAAGCCCAAGCCGCAGCCAACCCAGAGTACAGAGGACTTCACCATCAACGAGGTGGGAGACTCTGGCTTATATCAGCTGACACAGCTGGGATGGGTTGTCGCCTCTTTTCTATCTAGGATGAACGATGGCAGACATTCCAGCAAGATCTCTGGTTGGGCAGGCTACAACTCACTGCTGTCTACATGCCAGTCCGTGACCAAGGTTGGAGCCTTACCACTACTGCCAGAGGTGGCACACGAGTGGCCGACCCTACTGACTGTGATTATGCAAGCAAGTCCGCTGAGGTACTTGGCAGTTGGTGAAGATCATCCGACGGTCATTTCATTTGACATGGCTCTCTACGAGAAGGTGGTGCAACTGCTAGATGCCAGGCCTGACTTGAAGCACACAGTTTTCCCCAGACTGGGCAAACTACACGTCGTCATGGTTGCTCTGCGAGCTCTCGGAGCCTCCATGGAGAACTCCGGCATAGATGATGCCTGGATGGAAGCTGATGTCTATGGTTCTGCCACAACAAAACAAATCCTAAAATGCACACACTACAAGCGTGCTCTCCGTGCCCACATCTATTCATATATAGCACTCTATGAGATGGCACTGGAGGACTTCTTCACGGACAACCTACAACTGAAAGACATCTGCTTGGAAGCAACGGCGGTAGTAAAAGCTGCCTGCTCTGAGGGGAACAAATGCACAAAGGCTAAATCCGTGAAACATGCCAACATCACCCTCCTTCAAGCCTTGACCAATGCTGAAGTGCTGAAAACATTCCAGGACTGGGAGGCCCAGAGATCCAAGAATGCCATGTTCAAATCCATGATAAACTACCTACACCGAGTGGAGACAATCCTGTTCTTCGTGGCGGCATCCCGAAACGCTGACCTGGTGCTCCATCTCGAAGCTAGAGCAGCACTGAGCAAGATGTTCTTTGCTATGAACCGGATCAAGTACAAGCGACTCTGGCCTCGGTACTTCGCAGACATGTATGACCTGAGAACAGACCACCCCAATACCTGGAGGGAACTGGAAGCTGGAAACATATCCGTCACCAAGAACAAGATCCCGTTTGTATCCATTGGTGCAGACCACGCATGCGAACATCTGAACAAGCTGATAAAGGTTCACTTTGGACTGATTGGGATCTCCAACAACGCCAACCCAGAGGTTCTTCATGGCTGCACCAGAACTGTCATGCCTGTTGAGCGAGTTCAAGAGTCAGTTTGATGTGGAAGCTGGCAAGGTCACAGAGCACCATGACCGTAGACCAAGTGCAGTCAAGAGGGAGCATGACGCAATTGACAAGATCAAGGCTGCGATCCTGAGTCATGGCAATTCATTTGCCACTGAAGGTGACCAGCTGCACAATATGATCACCCATGCCTACATCGCAGACGAGTATGTGCCACAGATCCTAAACATTGATGTCACTGGGCAGAAGTTGTATGAAGAGTACGTGTCAGAGCGAATCAATGGGGACGTCAGCCTCTGGGCACCAGTGAATAAACACAACAACAAGATGTTCATGTCTGGCAACAAGAATACCAGTGTGAAACTCAGAGACAAGACTGTAGATCTGAAGGAGACCAAGGATCTGTACGGAAGGCTGATGGTCCTTGCCAGGTCAAACCGAGACATCGACCAGAAACAAGCCATCGGCAACTATGAGTTCACGTTGACACTGTTTGCGGCAAACGGGGTAATGCTGCCATGTATTGTCAATGCAAAGTTGATCCACCTCCTTGAGAAGCGGGGAAGAACAGAACCACCCGATAAAGATCAGCAGCAGCAGCTGCATGATGCAAGTGTTCTGCAGCGCGATGCAGTGGATCCAGAAACCATTGACTGCACACCCACTGAAGATCTTTATCCAAGTCGAAAAATTGCCACTGGTGGACGGTATGGTGGTCGTGCAGAAGCTAACAAAGAAACCAGCCACGGTAGTGACAGTCAAAGACCTCAGTGAATGCTTCAATACCAGACAGATGTCGCCCACAAGAGACTGTGATGAGATCATTCTGGTGTTTGACACATACAAGGCTGATTCCCTGAAGAGTACCACAACGGCGAAACGGAGACAAGGGAAGGATCCGATCCAATATCAGATCAGAGATGACACTAGCATCAAGCACATCCCAATGAGCCGGTTCCTTTCCCACGACAAAACGAAGGCTGATCTGACTGAGTATCTGGCAGCAAAAACCCTGGAGTACAACCAAGTACTCCAAGCTGGTTATCGCATCTGCCGCAGGACGTACTAGGAGCAATAGCGAGCTGCTAATCGAGGACAACAATCACGAAGAGGCGGACACACTGCTGATCTACCATGCAGTGCTGGCATCACAGAACCCACCTGATGCAGAGTTGGTGGTCTTCTCCCCAGACACTGATGTTCTGGTGCTGGTCATAGCACATTCTGCTGAGAAACACGTCCATGTCGATGGCATCCGGAGTGGTCCAAGTGCAGCCAATATGGACAGAACTAGGTCCAGAAAGAGCAAAGGCTTTGCCAGCCTTCCACGCATTCACGGGGGCAGACAACACCGGGAGGTTCTCTCGCATAGGCAAGGCAACCTGGCTGCAAGTCTACTTTAAGGCAGGCGGAGAAGTTATCAATGCTCTGCAGATGCTTTCAGATGCCGCTGAAGTCACTGAAGAGCTGCTGTTAACGCTGACAACATTCGTCTGTTCTGCATACGCACCAAAGGGCATCCAGATTGCGAGCATCCCGGAGCTGCGATGGCATCTTTTCTGCAAGCATATGGCTGAAAGTGACAAGCTGCCTCCCACCCTTGGTGCTCTCAAGCAGCACATCCACCGAGTCCAGATCCAGGCCACAGTATGAATTCAGGCAAACATTGCTCAGCAGCAGTTCTTGGATCCGCTGCAGCATGGCGTCTACAAAGACACAGCAGCTGATCAGGTGAAGCCAATTACAACTGAGGTCCTTCCAGCCCCCAAGGCCATCATTGAGATGGCGAGATGCCAGTGTAGAGCAGACTGTTCAACATCTCGATGCTCTTGCAGGTCCAAGAATGTCTCTTCAGTCCCATCATGCACAGACCTCTGCCAGTGCAGCACTCAGTGCCAGAATGACAAGGACTCTAGGAATGACATGTTGCCGACCAGTGACAGTAACGATGATGATGTGTAAAGATTCTGCTATATATCAAAGATTTTGCTATATCACACTTATTTTGTAATCCTATCATGATATTGAAGTTGTCCAAGAAGCTGCCTAGACATGCTAGAGGTTTGACTTGCTACATGTAGAAGTTCTGAGCCATTTAGAACATTTATTATAATAAAATGAACATGATAACCTGTTTTGTGGTTCTGTTTAGCTTATTTCCAAGATGGCCGCCATGCATGCTTTCGGCAAATTGCAAACATTAGTTTTCTGATTGCCTATACTATACAGATTCCAAAAATGTATAGGTTTGCAAATCACCCCAAAAAGTGAACGAAATTACACAATAAACTTGACTATATGTACAGCAATCAGTCTCTACATGTAGACGTAGATTTCTCGTAGCAATATTATTAGTAGTTGTTTTTTGGCGATGATGTTGTTGTTCTCTCTAGTAAATTCATGCCCAACGTTTATCTATCTATTCTAACCATATAGTCGCATAGACGCCGCATATAATAAAGTATGAAGTATTCGATTTCTCTTTGAATAAAAACGCAAAACAAACATAGATATTCACACGAACATGCATCACATGTTAAGGCCCCGCACACGGTACGGATTTGGCACGCGCCAACGGCGCTGAGCTAAACGCGCGCGCCATTTGCCCACGTAAACCAGCCCGCACACGGTGCGCATTCGGCGCTGAGCCAGAAAAATCAAACTCGATAGATATTTTGCGCACGCATTCGGCGCGCGCCAACGGCGCTGAGCCAGAAAAATCTAACACGATAGATATTTTGCGCGCGCCAACGGCGCACGCCAGCCCGCACACGGTGCGCATTCGGCGCAGCGCCGTTGACTGCGTTTCCTATTCACGGAAACAAATTCATTGTGTGGTAGACCATGAACGTCACATAGCGAGTGTCTCAAAATGACGTCAGAATGCGACATCTAAATATAAAGGTCTATATAGCTATGGTCCATCCACTGAGCCGTATGTAATAACTGGAGAGCGCATGTTAATAAGAGAGAGAGGGGGA